ATTGGGACAAAGGAGTGAGTAGGCCCCAGCTAAAGGGATCAAGACCAGTCAATTTCCAGCTCTTTTCTCTTGCAGACATGTAATGATATAACATGGGGTTGTCATAGCTTTTTCAAGAAAAATCTGGTAATCTAAATGTTTTATAAGTCCTTTCTTCTCAAAAATACATTGATAACTAAAAAAGAAATACTGCAGTGGTAACAACGGAATGAATAAAGCTCAATAACTGAATTAAATTATCATTGATGAAAGGCCATTCAGGCTTAAATATTACTTACTTTACTAGGACTGCTAGGATTAAGAGAAAAGTTTGTGAAGGTTCAGAAGATCCTAATAAAGTGCTCATAAGTATGATAAATTGCAAATAATGGTCAAGTGCCTGATCATTCAAATACTTTCAAGTGAACCCGATGTAAATTGTAAATAATTTAAACCTATAATTAGAATAATTAATAAGCATAGCTACCTCACTTACAAAAAACTTACAAGCTGAAGGTATAGCTGAGTGATAGAACACTTCCTTAACCTGTGCAAGGACCAGGGTTCAATCTCCAGTAATGCCAAAACTTTTAAGAGTATATAACTTACATTTAATATTTATATATTTTGTATATAATTACATATAAATGATACTAAATTTATGAATGTATGTATATTGACATAATTTTCATAAGATTACTTTTTTTTTGTTTTTGTTTTTTGAGCCAAAGTCTTGGTATGTAGTTCAGGCTGGCCTCAAACTCAACAGCAATCCTCCTGCCTCAGCCTCTCAGTACTGGGTTTACAGGATGCACCATCATACCTGACTTTTTTCATAAAATTATTTTGTGGGTTCATGTTTGAAATATAAAAACAAGTTTATAATCACCTATTTATTGTAAAACAAAGGCAATACTTTAATTCTTATTCATGATTTTCTTCTTTTTGAGAGTCTTGCTATGTAGTTCAGGCTAGCTTTGAGCTGTGCAGCCCAGCCAGATATGGAACTTGCAATTCTCGTGCCTCCTGAGTGCTGGGTTTACAGGGGACTTGTTCAGAACTGGTTTATATATGAATGGTTGCTGGTTAAGTCTATAGGTCTTCCAGACTGTAATAAAATTTCATTTACTTCGTCTAAAAATGTAAAAGGTAAAAAACAAAAAGCAAATATCTAGCTTGCTTTTATAATCTAGATTTCCCATTGATTTGATCCACTTCTAGAAAATACTACTTACATTTAAAATCTAATGTCAGTTCAATTTATAATTATAAAAGCAAATGATCTTATAACCATAACTTTCTTTTAAAAATGCAAAACCTCAAGATACAACAGATACATTAAGCCTCAGACTTCCGTATACGCTATTTTAAGTTTCAAAAGCCAAGCTAAAGTATCTAATGCCATCTGTGAAAACTATACAAAGGGAAATGTAGAATTTCAAACAATGACAAAGACCATGCAGTGCAACTAAATATAAGACAATTTTGTAATCTTCATAGAAGAAAAAAAACCAGAAAGATTGTGAAGTAGATAGCAAGTCATACTAAAAAAAATGGCTTAGAAAAATAGTATTGAAAATGGGCTAATATGAAAGTTGTCTCAGAAGTTACCCAGTCATATCAGCTATACTTAATGTATAAACAAGCTAACAGCTGTTAATTTTATTCTACTGCATGCTTATTATTTATCAACATGACTGAATTATTACCCATAACTTTTATTTGTGGAATCTTATTCTTCCATAGTTTTTGTTTTTGTTATTATTGTTTTACAAAATTGAGCAAACTAGCTTTTTTAAGTTGAGAAATTCAACCTGTCCAATTAACTACTGGTCACTATGACTGCTGTAAACCCATGGGCCTATTTATATCTATTCTAGATATTCTCTGCTACCATATTTTCTCACTTGTCTTCCTGTGCTTTGCTCATTTATTTCCTCTTGCCTGTTTGAAGCTAAATACCCAATTCTGTAATAGTAAATTGTTTTAAAAATTATCAAGCCTAATAATTTTATGTAAATTAACTTTACCTTTAAGCATTATGCAATATATGCTAGAATATAAAAAATATTTTAATATACTTTACTATTTATCTCAGTCTATGTAGACTACAATACCTAAATACACTAAAATGGGTAGCTTATAAGCAGAAATTTCCTTCCCATGGTTTTCAGCATCAGGAAGGGTCTGCTCTCCAGTTCATAGATCGCCCTTCTTGCTGTGGTCATGTGGTGAAAGTGGTGGGCTTGTATGGATGCTATTTCATTTATGAGGACAAAGCTCCTGGCAAGTATCTTCCGCATCACTTTCCCATCACCGGGGCAAAATATTCAACACCTGCAATTCACAGCACAGGTTTATTTGGTTGACAGCTTCTAGTGTGCTCAGTCCAAAGTCGGTGGGCCCCAAGGAAAATCCACATGGCAGAGAACAGCTGCTCACCCCACGGGACCCAGGAAGCAGAGACAGGCGGGGCCAAGAAGAATACACCTTTCTGGGTCACACCCATGAGTTACCTCCAACGGGTTCCACTGAATTCATCAGTGGATGAAACCAATGACTGCAGCACCTGCACAATCCAATCATTTTCCAAATGCTTGGGATTTTTTAAAAATCTAAATTATAACAACCTCTACCTTTTTAAAAAGGCCATTATTCCAATACCATAGCCTTGGAGGTTAAAATACCATGTATTTTTTGTGAGAAAAAGACAGAGCATAGTATTGACCGAGTAAAAGAGCTCATAAAAAAATCTAAGTATTTCACATCAAGGACCAACGATTTAAGTTAAAATCTATGAGGTTTGATCGTTTAATTTTCTAAAAATTTTACAATGAATAACATTTATCATTAATCCCCCTCATGTGTCCCCTTGCTGTGAAATACTCATCGCATCTTTCCTGCCATTTCCTGAAGCAGTTCTGGAAGTCTTCTTTCATGAGATTTTAATTGCACTGCCATGGCTGCCTCAAATGTTGTGAAATCCATTTAAAATGTCTATCTTTCATGGCCATTCTGACGTCTGGAAGAGCCAGAAGTCACATGGTGCCAGTGCCAGTGAATAAGGTGGATTGGTGAATAAGTGCTTCGATCAGTGAATAAGGTAAATGGGGACACTCCGTGCTTTTACAGCCTGTTAGAAAACTCTAAGTAGCAGCATTTATTGTGTTTCTGATCACACCTCATAGACACTGATGCAAGAGAGGTCTTCCAGAACTGCTTCAGAAAGCAGAAAGAACAACGGGTGGAATAGTGTGCATGAAGGGGGAGTATTTTGAGGGAGATTATTGGCAATTTCTTCTACTCTAATAATTTTAAAAATTTAAATATTCTATATACTTTGGTCACACCCTGAATATTTCATGACATTTATGGGAGGTTTCTTGAAAAAGTACAATTGAGAAATGTTTTTTCAAATAAAATACAATTTCATACTCAAGTTGTTTGGTGGAGTTGAATTTGATGGCTCCATGTTAAGAGTTAATTCAAGAAAGATAATTTTTTAATTATAAAAATGTATTTTCTAAAAAATTTGAAAAACTAAGGGAAAAACTGTCCATAATTTTAATTATTCAAACTTGTTTGCTTATAGTGAGATACAGTTCAGACTGGAAGCAAAAAACTGAACTCTAACTTTACTCTTGAGTGTGTTTACATTTAAATACATACTTGGGGTCTGACCATGTCATCTCAGAGAGTGTGGATAAAGCAAACTGCAGCCTAGAATAGAAGCATGTAGCACTCACATAATCTCCATGCCCGGATCTTACACAGGCTCAGGATGAACACAAAGCAAGCACCCTGGCTTCCTGCTGAACCACACAGCCAAACCCCTAAACTCCGCAGGTGGATACAATGTGTCAACCATAACAAGGTCAAAGTTGGCAGCCTTATCTATTTTCAATGAGACTATCTCCTGTGTCTTACCCTTAAACATGTCTGGGTGTTGACTAGCGTAGTTCTCAATTACATTATGAATACATTCTCTACTTTTCTTTTTAAATCAAGACTGAGAATTTTATCAAATCCCTTGGTTTACTGTATATTCAAAATATTGTATACGCTTTGAAGAGGTTTGGGTAGGGCTCTGAGACTGTTACCATTCATTAAAAACAACAAAAAAATAGACAAAAAGAGAAAGAAAACTACAATATTTACATATTCTCAAATAGTTGAATTATTGCCTGTATGCTTAAAATCATATATAGTATATTATTTTAAAAAAACAATGTCTTATCAGCTAACAATATATAAACAAAATTATTTTTAAGGCAATGTGCTATAGCTACAATTAAATCTTCCAGTGATGAATCGATCATGGATTAATGTGTGGAGATCTGGATGGAGGAGTGACTGAAACAATTGCTGAAATGAAGGGATCCCTTACAGCGATGGCCCAGGCTTCCTGGAAGGCATGGTTAAAGATTAAAGCAGACCTACAATGGCAACAGTGAAACAGGATCCACTACAGATTATCCTTAAATGTGCACTGGTACCTCGGTTCACGAACTCAACTCTCTCTACAGTTCTTGTCACAAACTGAAATAGCCAAGAGCCAAATTAAATTTCCCCATAAGGTCAACCCGGAACCCACCCACTGAATTTAATTTGGTTCTCTCACAACTCAGTCACCAGAAGCATGGAAAGAATCGAGCTTGTAAACCAAGACATCACTATGGTTGCTCCAGCCTCTGTGCTCTCCCTTCCCGATGGCTTGGTTACATTAGGGAAATGTAAGTCATGGCAAGCCGCTGTTCTTCCTGTCCCCTACATGAATTCCTGAACAGATCTTTCTTTTGTCCCTGGTTCTATCAGTAACAAGCCTCCAGAAGCTTCAGAGCAGGGCTGTTTTTCTTGAGTCTCTCAGGCTGAGGAAAAGGCAGGCTCTCTGGGCTCTCAGAGATAAAACTGGACATGGACTCAGTAATTGCTCATCCTTTGTGCTGCCAAGGTCAAGTATGACAGGTTAGCGTTAACAAACATGTCTCAAAAATCAATGCATTTAATATCTCACAGTCACACACATTATTAAAGTTCTTTTTATTGTTCCTTTCATGAAATTTAAATATTTTCAAAGTCCTGAATCAAATGTTTCCTCTTAGTTTTCCAACATCTGTGACTTGTCTTCCTTTGGCTTATTCAGTAGAAAGTGAACTATCTGAAGTAGAACATCATCATTAAAACCTTTCACATTATTTTCCTCAACTGTCTCATAAAGCGGCTTACTCTGCGTCCCCCAACATATATTTTTACGAGGGTTATTTTGATCAGCTTGTGCAGTCAGTGCCAAAGTATTTAACTGGTAGCAGAAAAAGGAAAAATATTTTCCATCTGTGATCACACCTTGGGAGACAAAAGGTCGAGTAACATCTGCTTCACTCCAGAATCCTGTAGAAGAAAGTTATGCTGAAATTTACACACAGAATATATTTTACCAAAACAAAACAAAACATATTAGAAGGTAGCAAATAGTAGTTTACCAAATTCCTGAAGGCCTGTTTCCCTATCTGCTCCATCCTAATCCTATACCGCATTTCTGCAGCAATTACAACCTACGTTCTAGTATCCCCAAACTCACAATTCATATTTTTCAACAACTTCAGCTTTCAAGAGCTTTTAACCTTAACTTCCTTCACCTAAGAAGCACAATAAGCTCTGTCTAAGCAGAGCCCCTCCATACGCAGTACTAATTTGATCACAACTCATGGGCTTTGGTATGTTCAAATTTTCCCGTGCTAGCAGCATCTACACCCCAATAATCACTATAGATGTTTATTCCACCAAATTCACAAGGAAAAACAAAAACACTTCAAAGTAAGTCTCCCTATGGATTTCGACATGTCCTTAGATAAATTCAGTGACTTTCTTTACATATTTAAATATTAGTTTTATAAGTTGCTGTCCTTTTGCCTAGCATGTCTTGGGTTATACGGTTCCAGGATGACTTCATACTTCAAGAATGAGTGTATACTTCCACAACTCAAATTTTATTCTTCTTATTCTTCCTCTTCTTGTTTCTTTTGAGACAGGGAGGGTCTTGCTATCTAGTTCAGGCTGGCCTTGAACTCACGGTGACCCTCCTGCCTTAGCCTCTCCAGTGCCGGGACTATAGGCGAGCACCACCACGCCTGGCTCTTCTACTTCCCAAATTATCTGACTATATGTTCTTCCAGCTCCCTGGCTTTAACACTTTTAAAGCCAACTGCCAAGCCAAATGGCAATTTTACACATATTTTATATCATCCTTAGGTAGACAGCCAATGAATAATACCGTTAAAATATCTAATTAATTCCACTGTAAAACAAAGTACTTTATCTTCATAAATAAACAGGGCCCCTCCACATAACATATTCAGCAGTTACCTCTCACATTTTCTGATTCTGTCTACTCCTATTTTCCTCCTCCAGTTTTCATTTCTATTATAGAAACATGTCAATAATGTGAGCATATTAAAATACATGTATAAAGGAAAAAAGTGAGCTTAGTAATAACTAAATCTGCATTCAAATTTCTCTTTGATATTTATATAAGATTAATCTAAAAAAATTAATCTAATTCATAGCATATGAATAAAATTTAAACACCTCACAGTGGATCCTAAAAGTCCTCCTTGAGGACAAAGGCTATAGCTCAGTGGCAGAGCATCTGCTTAGTAGGCAAGAGCTGGGTTCAACTTCACCACACTGATATCAATAATTAGAAATCCTACATAATAGAGTTTCTGGCTTCTTTTACTTAACTCTCCATCATTCTCTCCTCTTTCTTCATCAGTCTTGTTCCTTAAAAACTTCAAGCCCGTTCCACCACCTTTTATTCCTATTCCTGTAAGATAGATTTTCCCTGCAGGCTGTCCACATATAGGTAGCCCCTTACCACTTAGGTCTCTGCACAGAAGCCATTGTTTAGAGATTCCCCCCTCAATGACTTTATATTAGTAGATTTTACCTCTTATCTCACTTCTATCCTTCCATAGCCCAATACATCATTATACCCCTTATACTACTTTCTCCCGATGATTACCATTAGCTGAAAAAAGCATATGTCAATTTCTTTTGTTTAGTCACTATAATGAAAGTTCTCAGGAGGGCAGCATCTGTCTTGGGATATAAATTCAGTGAAGAATCTTATAGTCTAAATCCTAGATATAGTCTTTAAAGACATTCTAAAGGATAGCCATGATTTGATCTATGTATTTAATTCACCAAATCATTCTCTTTTCTACATTCAGAAAGTTGTTATCGTCTACAAAGAGTTGACTTAACAATAACTTCTGAAATATCTGTGTACTCTATTGGAAAAAAATGCATTCTCACAGGAGGCAGTCAAAGTAACAGATCAAAATAACTAAGTGTCACTTGTAAATTTTACATGTAAAATATTTAATTATGGATTTTAAAACTTTACTTTGTATAAATATACAAATTTTCAAAATGTTAAAATGTAGCCTACAATTTTCTTTGTCTTTTTTAAGATAGGGTTTTACTATGCAGTTAAGGCTGCCCTTGAATTCACTTTGTAGCTCAGGTTGGCCTTGAACTTGCAGCGATCCTTCTACCTCAGCCTCCTACGTGCTGGGATTACAGGTATGCACCACCACCCTCAGTGTAGCCTACATTTTCTATCCAAAGAAAACAATCTGAAAAATTTTTAAAACGTCAAAGATACCTTCAGAGAACAACAAAGTCACACAATTGGTTTTACCTTGATACATAGCTTGTGCTCCTGTCCAAGCAAAAAGGCTTGCAATAGCATTAGCTCTAAAAACAACTTCTATTTGATCCGCACGGTTTTGTTTTAAAAGCTTCTCCCTTTTCAATTTGTCAGGTAACAGATGAAATTGAGTGTGACCATAACAGCACGGATCTGCTGTTTTTGAACCTGAAGAGCAAAATAAAAACATTTCAGACAAAATGAGCATGCAGAGTATCTTGAAAGCATGTGCTTTACTTCTTGTACCAGGGAAATCCTTCTTCTCTATATACCATGTGCTCAGTACTCAAAATACAGAAACTGGAATACTAGTTTGCTAATTTCTTTTATTGACTACAGCGAAGCTAAATTTTACATGAAAGTACAATTTCTCCATCTGCTAGTTATCATAAAGCCCACTACGATGCAAGTCAAAAGACTATCTATGAGGGTTCCTTTAGGCATCCTTAAGAGCGCTGATACTGTCCTTGTCATGTTCACCGCACAATATAAACACTCTGACTTCAAAACTTCTTTCATTATCTAGGGTAATAATTATATATCTTGTTCCTAATTTTTAAAAAAGTTTTTATACTACATTTTTAAGTTAAAAAAATAAGGACCAGTATTTCACGAAATGTTGACACTAACAATGCTATTGGAAAAGTCTTCTAAAATAGTCTTATAGGTCATTCTCCAAGACCACAGTGACTAAGAAGGAGCTGATAAAATGTCCGGAGGACTAGTATAAAGCTTGCTTAAAAATCTGCTTTAAATCAGCTAGGAATTAATAAAGGAAAAAAAAAACTATCAGAGAATAAGATACATGAGGAAAAACACATGAGGCTTTATTAATTTGTAATTCTTAATGGTTTTCACCATGTGTAGCCCACAGAGGATGGTTCTGTAAAAATGCCAATCACAGTCCCAAGTCCAGTTCTAAACGTTTTTACTTTTGAAAAGCCATAAATTATTTTTTAATATAATAAATCAAAGAAGTCAAGAAAGTATAACTCTTTTCTAAAGTTAAATATTAACATAGTAGAAGTAATTTTCAAGTGATAAGCTAAAAGAACTTCTTTAATTGTCACGTATGTTGCCGTAATTTGAGATTATGAATTAATGAACTATGTAAATCTCTATTATCAAGAATTTTTCACTATAGTTAATGCTCCAAATGTGCACAGCACGCTTTGATCAAGTACAGCAAAATATCTCAAAAGAGAACTTACCAATAAATATGTTGTTTTCATACTGCCGTTTGAACAATGGAAGCGTGTCTGGTTTACATTTCATAACAGGGATTTCAATAGGCACAGAATAATCTAATGGCACGAACTTAAAAAGAAAACATATACTGAATTACAGGAACAATAGTGTCCATTTTTCACCCATTACTACATTTAAAAATTTTTAAATGAGGTATTTTCTACAAAATAATCTGATAATACAGGTTGAGTATTCCTTAATCAAAATGCTAAGAACCAGAACTGCTTCAGATTTTAGTTGCCCCAGTTCTGGAATACTTGCATAGATTTTTTACAGATGGAGCATTCCTAATTTGAAATGGACTGCAGTTTGGATTTTGGAGCATTTTCAGTTCCACAGTTTTGGACTACAGAAGCTCAACCTGTACTACCATTTCGTGATGAGTCCAAACCAGCAAGTCACGTGGTTTTACAAAGAGTATTACTGTAACAAAGCCATATACATTCCCCTATATAATGAATATAGCAGCATATACTCTGTAAGACCAGCAGCTGTATGACAACAGAGACTTTAGGATCTGCAAAGGCTAAAATATTTACCATCCAGACCTTTACAGAAAGAGTGCCAACCCCTGACACGGAAACATGGGCAATACACAAAATCTACATTTTGCCTTCAAAAGAACTACAAATATGTAAACATCAGGCTTGTAACTGTAAAGATTTTCTGATTTATGACTATCTAGCATATTACAAGTTATAACATAAACTATTATTATCATAGTGAAATTAAAAGAAACAAAACGATCTGTATGGTCCTGAAACTCACTAAAATGATTATTTGACCTCTACAGAATATAGCATACCAGATTAAAAAGTTGAATAATACTTTCAGAGGGTGTCTTTAAAAGAAATAGGAAACCTATGACATCCACCGAAAACATTTTATGTCATAAGCCCAATTGCCTGTTCTAGGATATTTCCCACATCAGATGTCGATATATATGTGTATTCGACAAACCCTTACCTCTGGGAGTTGCTTGGATATTCTAATCTGGTTGTTCGGTTTATCATCTATTTGATATCGCACAGCATCAATTCGGCCCTTTCTATAACCACGAGGAATCATTTCTTCACCACGCAACCAGTAAAAATGAACTGGGCGCTTACAATCTATCAAAAGATTCAAAATTCCTCATCTGATCATTTAGATAGATTTAATTAGCAGAAGGCTAACAGTACGTTTCCAATTTTAAAAAAAAGATATTTACTCTTTTACGTAACATACATTGTGAACTATGCACCAGTATAACTCTGAATTGTATGTTAACACAACATGTACTGTCTACTTGTGCCACCATTCCACTAACCACTGCAAGCAAGATTACTCAGTTAAGAATGGGAATAACGACAATAAAACTAACAGGAATACCACTCACCACAAATAAAAATAGTTTAATAGGAGTCAGACCTGTCTTAGGAAGTACTATTTCAATCTTCGCAATAACTCTAACAGGTATGTATAGAGGCAATCATCTGCATTTTATAGGAGGAAACTGGGTCTTGAAAAAGTGTGTTATGTAGGCCACCAATCGCGAGCTATCAAAGTCACCGTGCTGCCCTCAGCACCACTTCCTCCCCAACTGAGGAAGGAAGCAAGCTAGTCAGTAACATTCATTCACTAATTATGAAGACGTCCACTGGGTGGTGGACATAAAATGAATGCATGAGAAACACTGACATTTAAAACTGTTTATGTATCCATTATTTTTCATGTTTTCACCGAACAACGAGATAGGAATTGTAGAGTCCAAAAGACCATCCAAACCTACCAAGCACAGGGTCTTGGACTGATACATTCAACCTTTGGGCGCCTCCACGGTGCTACCTGCTGAACAGTTAGTGGATGCAGGTGGCACACAAAACATCTGGAAATGGGCCGAGGTTATAGCTCTGCGGCACGAGCGCCTGCCTGGCAAGCACAAGGTTCTGAGTTCGATTCCCGGTACCAAAAAACCCAAAAAACAAAAAACAAAAACAAAAACAATCTGGAACAGGGCCGGACACATAGTAAATAATGAATAAAGGTTAGGTATTTCAGTTAATACTTAACTTACCTTCACAGTTCTATGACCTTGTACTAACTGCCATAATTCTCATTTTGAAAAGGAGTTTAAAAAAAAAAAAAAAAAAAAAAAGTTGTTTAGGGACTTGACTTGACAGAGGGTCGAACAGCTTTTGGCGGAAATGTTCACAGGCAGAGCAAGTCTGCCCGCGTCTTTAAGGGTCTCTCGCCCTAACCACTCCTCTTCCAGTCGGTTGCACACTCACGGCGGAGAACGCCGGCCACGGAGAGCCCCGGCTACCAGTGCGGACAGGACCGGTCACCGAACCCGGGGTGCACGGCGGGAACTGCGGAGCGCCGCCACGCCCGGGCCGGCCCGCGGGGAGAAGGTCGG